ATAATGAATTTTTAATTTTAAGTTTAAAGATTAAAGTTTAAAAGTTAAAGTTTAAAATTTCAAATTTCAGATTTCAAGTTTAAAGTTTACGTAATCGCACTGAGACAAACGGATCGGATGACTGTTTGCGTTCGAAGTCTGTGTAAAAGTGCTGTAGCTCCCCATTTACAGACATTATTTATATACGAGGCTACCAAATCAACGAAAATTTCGCCATTTTGGAGCCGAAAAAATTATAGCTAAACAAAATAAAATTACACTGCCATTTACATTCAGTGGCTTCCCACATGATAGATGAAGAGATTAAAAAATAGATTGAGTTAAACAATTGATATTATCAAAAGTTATCGTGTTTACAAGCCACAGGGACATGATAAATCCACACCATAAGCCACTAAAACCCTTTTTTTATTTAAAAATAGCAATTAATCGATTTGAAAAAATTATTAAAAAGTTCAACAATCATTTATCTTTCTAAAGACCTGTCGATTGATATGCTACATGCCCTGTGTCAGTCTGTTGAGAATTTGAAATTGTAGCGGTTTCTAACGGTTGCCGTTGAGCAATCAGTTTCAAAATAAGAGGTTCAGATGCCTGGGTGATCAGTAATCGATTGCTGAAAACAGAATTTGAAAATTCGAAACCGTTCTCGAGATAATCGTGGGACAGACGGACAGACATCGTGAAATCAATAAGTGACTTCGCAAGCTTCGCCACTTAATAATTACTTACTAGAATAAATTTTTATGATATCTACATATCTTTACCATTATCTAATTACAATATTCCTTGCCAGATGAGCATAACGTATTCGTGTCCACTCTGAGCCCGTAAACTTATTTTATTCTTTGGAACATGCACTCTGTGGCGGCAATCAAACAGTGTCAAATGTAGTGCGTGCGGCGCGGCGGCGACGATTGTATGCGATATCAATAGTACCCGCCGGCACCTTGACCTTGTACTTTCGAAAAGCTGCACAATTTCTTTGACAGGTCAGTATCCGACCTTTCATGACGCCGACAACAAGACGCCGCGCACTATCAAAGTGCTGATGGTCAAAACTAGGGATGCACTCTTTTTTTCCTTTTAATCGATATTTTCATTCGCTACGTATGTTCATGGTATTGTTCGTAATACGCATAAGTTCAATTTTCCATTTTTTTATTATATTTTTTTGCGTCTATATAGAGTCCCTAAGCATATACCCGAACTCGTATACTCCCTCAAACGACACTCAGTCCTAAATGCAAGACGCAAGAGTCTCGCAAGCATAGTCTTGTTCTTGCGCAAATCTTGCACGGTCAGTCTTGCTAAAAATAGGCGGTCTTGGTCATGCAAAAATGCAAGAACAAGACCAAGACTGCAAGACCATGACCGATTTTGGGCAACACTAGTTGCAACATGCATTATACGTGAACATATTATCTTTGAAAAAAAAATTAAACAATTTATTACTACTTATTGAGTTTTTCTTAGATATAATTTAAAGACGATATAAAATTATGTGGAGTGCTTGCGAGTACTTGAAGTAGTGAAACAGTTGAGTGTGATATTGCGATATTGATAGTAACATATTATCTAGAATCATAACTTTGTGTTATGTTGTGATACAAATTATAAATTATCTTCTACGAGGTCAATGACCGACATTTGTACTGAAGTTATTTTTAGGAATGCTGCACGGTATTTTGGTACACCTTCATGCTGGTTATAATATGTACCCTTTGTGTCCCGGGAAACACCAAGCGGTTTAACGGTTTTATGGTAGCTATTTACTGAATTACAATAGATGTCTGCAGAATACGGCAGTGTCTATTAATTACCGAGATTAAGAAAACTTCAACTCGCATTTTTTTTTCATAAGCTGTAATGATAGTATTGAAGATACTATCATTACAGCTTATGAAAGTACTCAGCCTACCTGATGGTAAGTGGATGCAGTGGCTTATAGACATCTACATTTATCATCGATTAAGAATCAGAATGCAAATGTTTTGTCACCCCTGAGGACTAAGATGTAATGCCTCGTTTCCAGTAAAAAGGGTCTCTACCCTCACCATACGAAACACAGCAAAATTGAGCTGCTATTTTACGCTGGTATTCTGTAAGAGCGTGGTCTTTCCCCGGTCGAGCCGACCCATTCGTGCTACAACAATAATACAGCTGCAGCTTGGCTCGACCACGTAAAAAAATCCGTTAATTAATTACAAAATTACATTCACACATACATAGATACATACAGGTCAAGATGTTATAGAGTGTAAGAGTGCGTGACCTTTATACGCAGTTGAAGTAAAACTTAGGAATATTAATCAATATTAATTAAGTAATATTTTTTTCTATAATGTATTTATTATTCTGGATACTATTTATTTATTACTAACTTCTTTATCAGCGCTCCACTGCTGGACAGGAACACTTCTGTTGGCAGACGGATTGCCAATCCCAGCATCAGACGTCTGGCACTTTTGGCGATTTAATTCATTTATTATTTTTTATTTTGATTCTTAATAACTATAACTTATTATGTCGTTGCTTATGGGGAGATGGTTGCCATAGTTGCCCAGGTTGATGAGCGAGCTATGGAGAGGGCTATGCTCAAGGTTTCTCTGCGTGATAAAAGGAGGATGTCCAGAGTAAAACTAAGAGTAACCAAGCCCAGCGAATTAGTAAGCTTAAGTGGCAATGGGCCTGCCATATAGATCGAAGAACCATTGGGGAATAAATGAAAAATTAAATTTGCTTTATCTCTTTAAGAGATAGGTATTGATATAATTTAAGTAATCAGCGGTTGCCAACCCGCCTGGGGTAATCTTGCAAGGCCTATGGTCACCAGTGGACTTTTGTTAGGGTGTAGGTTATGAATGAAAGCATGAAATCTAAAATACTCTAATTCGTATTGATTTGTTTGCAAAAGAGATGATTGTATACGCCAGGATATGCCATAATATGATCCGCTATTGAATATATTAACATTATACTACATATGTGAATTAATACTGGTTCACGTAATGGATATGTGTATACGACAATCGATATTTTTATTTTTGCCGCGGCCGACCAATCTACTGGAATTACAGATACGATATCGATTAACAGTTTGAGTCTACATTGAGATCGTTAATCAATGCTTCAACACGCTTTTTGTCCGGTTTTTAGACACAATAGAGGCACACTATAACTTTATATTTTCCTTTCATTAGCTTCTTCGTCCCTTGCCTTATTACTCTGTAATGGCGGTGTAACAATATCCACTACCTCATATTATCATCACGTGGGTGTCAGACAGAGAGAAACAAATCAGGAGATGGGCAGCAGCATCTTCTTAATTACGACTAAACATAAAAAAACTACGGTTACCAACCCTCTTGCCAAGCGTGGTAACTATGGCAAATATTTCCCCTATGAGACAATCTATGGGGAAGGCCAATGTTCTGCGGACTTTAATAGGCTGTAGCGGTAACGGTAGCTTTAACGTCACTATTCAAATTCCTGGAGCAAACGTGTGCGGCTTCCAAACTTTAATGAATTTAAAAAAAAATAGGATGTTTCGCGAGTCTATTGAAATTCAAAAACATCCTAATTTCTAAGATGGCTAGATGCTATCATCTGTTTGAGATCCTATAGCTAATAAATATATTAAGTTATAAGGAGTTGACTAACACAGTGCCAGTGGTTGCCACGAGGTTGCTACTTGAGAAGCCATCGGTTGTCGGTTCTTTGAGCTATAAAGCGACACATGTATCCGCATTAGCTTACTCATAAGATGGACTGTGTTGGTAAACCCTTGTTCTTTCTGCTGCGGAATATCCTCATTGTAGGTTTTATCACCCAGAGAAAACCCTAGTATAGTCGTCTCCATTGCTCGCCGAGTACTTTCAGCTTCCTTTAGTCATCACTAGCAACACGCGCTGTTTACCACTTTTGTTTTAAATGTCTGACATATCGAACGAGATGAGTCACAATTTCCCGGACGTTGCCCTGTCGTGTTGGGTTTTGCAACTGATTGATCAAGTTGGATCTTATCGCCATTACTCATTTGGGCGCTAGAGATAATGCTTGTTTTGTCTATCTTCATCATCTTAAGATCAACTCGTTGGGCAATACTATTTAAGTCATTGCGCACAATGCTAAGGTTTTCCAGAAACACCAACAACAGTAGCTTGAAAACATACGGTTAAGAGTTAAGGGGGACAGGGATATCTCTCTCTCTCTCTCTCTCTGCCTTTGTTTAGTTACCTTACTGTATAAATTCAACACCTAGATATATCAGTAGTCAATCTGGCACTGGTAAAATGGAGTCTATTACGGTCTAAATTTTGACCAAATCGAATGCTTTTATATAGACAGACGTTAGACATAACTAGACATTGGATTTTATGCATTTGCATATGCAAATTCATGTAACTCTCTAATTACGACGTTAATGCATATTTTAGCCTTTATTTCCAATCGTGCATGTTTCGTTTAGTAGCGGGAGCTACGTATAGGGATCTAGGTGATAAATACGTGTAGGGCGCGGGCGCAGTGGCCGACTGAACTAACTGGCCAAATTTTAAATTTTGTACAATGACGTCAGTTGATGTAGAGATGTCGCCTTCGGCGTACAAATTGATACTGGGTGACAAAAGTCACAAATTTGCGTTCGAAAATTTGGTAAAATACTCAATTCTATATTGTCATAAAAACTATGTATAATTTAAAGAACATTTCGCTGTTTTTGTACCGTTTTTAATTAAAATATATTAAAATTAAAACGTTTTTTTTTATTTTGCATTGTGCATATCTTGGGCATATCAACAGTTTTAAGTGCATATTTTGGCACTTTGTTAGTGCATGTAATCCGATGTCTAGACATAACAATATATTCAATAGATTACAATTCTTAGCCTCCTTTATATTCAGGCAAAAGGTATTGTTTTTGTTCCTCGGTACATATAAATACGCACATCATATTGTTTGTGTAAATTATTTAATAATTCAAATGTTTGTGTTTACAGAGTAAAAAAACGACTTCCGATATTCTCGAGAGTTTGGAAACGAAAATAAAGAGTATAGAGCGAGATGGTCAATACAAGGAGCAGACCCACAAGCGCGTCATCGGTTACGTGATGGCGTACTCTGTGGGGCTGTATGTGCTGTTCGCGATCCTTTACTACTACGTGTACATTGGCAGGAGTCAGCATTGGCTGCATTCACTGTTATACGCGTCGCCGCTTTTAGTGCTGCCGGTTTTGTAAGTATAATATTATAATAATTTAAAAGAAAAATGAAGGAGGTTATAAATATTCCAGTACAGTACAGAACACCGGTTTACGCTTACTCCCAAAGAGCCTCTTACGCCGCTTAAACGCTGGTCGCAACGCTCACATGAATGCGAAATAGTTTTTTTTTTTAATTTTCTAAAACTATTATAGTGGTTAAACACCTATTACTGTTGAACCTGTTGTAATACAATACTTAAAATTGGAGTTATTAGTGACGGCACCGAACTTGTCGCGAGCAGGCCCTAAGCCACCTCAGCCCTATTGTCTTGGTATTTGTAGTATCAAGTAAACATTTTCGGCCTTACTCATAAAATAGACGTCAAAGTTATGCTTAAATTTGCTCTGTCTCTTTAAGAGATAGGTATTGATTTAATTTAAGTAAGTAGATAATCAACGATTATAACATAGATTAATGATCATCGCGCGCTCTGACTAGATACCGCGCTCTGACTAGATACCGCGCTCCATGCAAGTAACAGCTCCATGAATGCAGCATCTTAATATTGTAGTGTGTATAAGACAATATGCATGATGCTAGTGTGCGTGAAAAATTGTATATGCCAGCAGCTTAACTATTACCCGACTAACGGGAAAATTTATTTTATGCTATGGCTTAGTAGTTAAGTTCATAGTTATGAATGTATTCCAGAAATACTTAAAAATGAATAGTTTATTAATAACGAATGTATCAATATATTTGTGTATATTATGTATAGGTTTTTCTTCTGAATAAATGATATATAAATGATAAGGCCTCCTTTTTATCACTTTAATTTTTTTATTTACATGTCTAACTAATATTCACAAATTATTTAAAAAAATAGTTATATATATGGTGTAATCAAAATAGTGCTTTCTATTCTACGCGTCAATATGAACAACTTTTACTATATATCTATCTTCCAAATCGCAAGAAAAATCAGGTCTTCCGTACATTTTGAGATAGTTTGTACGAAATTTTGTATGGAATAACTGACTTTGATAATTTTTTATAGGATCAGGGTGACAAACGAGCACTCAGTCCACCTGATGGTAAGTGGTTGCTGTGGCCCATAGACATATACATCTATCCTCGGTTAAGAATCAAAATGCAGAAGAGTTGTAACCCCTGAGGACTAAGATGGAATGCCTCGTTTCCATAAAAAGGGTCTCCGGTTCTCTACACTCACCATAGGAAACACAGTAGCGTTAAGCTCCTATTTTACACTGGTATTCTGTGAGAGCGTGGTCCTTCCCCGGTCGAGCTGACCCATTCGTGCTACAACTACCAGTAATATAGCTGCAGTATGGGTCTATCACGTATAAATTTAAAATTTCGAAGATGATCCCATAATAAAAAATATTCATGTTGACGGGCAGAATCATTCCCTAAGTTATTAAGTACTATTTTTAACAGTGGTAGAGCTAAGCGGTAGCTTTTGCTGTCGCACGGATGGGCCAGCTCGAACCGGGGTGGTACCACGACCTCACAGAATACCAGCGTGAAGTAGAGGTTTACCTCTGCGTTGCGCTTGGTGAGTGCAGGTGGCCGGAGGCCCAATTCCCCCCCCCCCCACCCCCCATCAACATGGTAGTGGAATTAAATACAAGACTACCCCAGGAGGGTACCAGCACCCCTGGAGAATCCCTCGCTGAGCATCCACGACCAAACTACTTCACTCCTGAGCGTGGGTGCTCAGGCTGCCCCGCGTATTCTGGGGGGGGGGGGCAAAATTCCGCTCGTGACTAATGCTGCTCGGGGCAAGCGGAGCAATACAACCAAGGCGACCCCTGTCACGCTATCCGTGAATTTTTGCAACATCAGGGGACTTCATTCCAACCTTAACGCTGTCCATTACCATCTAGAGACGGCGAAGCCGGCCTTCCTCTTTTTAACCGAGACTCAGGTGTCCTCTCCGGCTGATACTTCATATCTCTCCTACCCGGGATACAAATTGGAACACTCCTTTGTGCCCCGGGCTGGAGTTTGTGTATACGTCAGAGAGGACATCTGTTTTCGACGCCTCGGCAGCCTTGAAGGTACGGACCTGTCCATCCTATGGCTGCGCGTAGACAGCGACGATCATCCCCGCGTCTACGGGTGCCTCTATAGGTCCCATAGCGGTAATGCCGACACAGACCGACTCATCGACCACGTCCAAATGGCTGCAGACTCCGTGCTACAACAGGTCCCATCCGCAGAGATCGTGATACTCGGTGATTTCAACGCCCACCACGCTGAATGGCTTGGTTCTCGTTTAACCGATCATGCGGGTAGATCTGTGTACGACTTTGCTTTGGCATATGGTCTAACACAACTGGTTACTTCGCCTACGCGGATCCCAGATGTGGAAGACCATGTACCTTCCCTGTTGGACCTTCTGCTGACCTCTCATCCGGACGGATATCAGGTCTCAGTCGATGCCCCTCTGGGCTCTTCGGACCATTGTCTGATCCGGAGCACAGTGCCACTCACGCTCCAATCGCAGTTGCGATCTGCAGCTTGCCGCCGTGTTTGGCACTATAGGTCAGCTGATTGGGACGGGATGCGGTCTTTTTTTGCATCCTACCCTTGGGGGCGGGTTTGCTTCTCGCCGGAAGATCCCAGCGTTGTTGCCGATTCTGTTGCTGATGTGGTACTTCAGGGTATGGAACTTTTTGTTCCATCCTCTGTGGTGCCCATCGGGGGCAGATCCCAGCCATGGTTTGGTCGCTCCTGTAAAATAGCATCACGCTATAAGCAGGAGTGCTACCGGGCCTGGGCTGATGCATCAACATCTCGGGATTTAAACACCAGCGCACTTAAAAAGAAGTATAATTCCGCCTCCAGGTCCTTCAAAAGCGTCATTGCCAAGGCAAGGTTTGAGCACATCGGCAGAATTGGCGAGAAGCTAGTTCGCCTTCCTTCGGGAACCCGTGCATTCTGGTCTCTCGCCAAGGCTGTCCAAGGGAACTTCTGTCAGCCATCCCTTCCATCTCTGCACAGAGAGGACGACTCACTAGCCCATGCCGCAAAAGAGAAAGCCGATCTGTTGTGCTCTCTTTTTGCGTCTAACTCGACTCTAGATGACGGGGGGAACACACCGCCGACCATCCCGCGATGTGAGTGCTCCATGCCGGATGTGCGATTTACACAGCGCTCGGTTCGCAAAGCACTCTTCTCCCTGGACGTCAGCAAGTCGAGTGGGCCCGATGGAGTCCCTCCCATTGTGCTGAAGACGTGTGCTCCGGAGTTGGCACCGGTTTTAACGCGTCTTTTCCGGTACTCCTACTCCCAAGGCATAGTCCCGAATTCATGGAAGACAGCTTTGGTCCACCCGATCCCTAAAAAAGGCGACCGCTCAGACCCGTCCAACTACAGGCCTATCGCTATCACCTCCTTGTTCTCCAAAATAATGGAATCCATTATAAACTGCCAGCTCATGAGGTACCTTGAAGATCACCAGCTGATCAGTGACCGTCAGTACGGTTTTCGTCGGGGTCGATCAGCGGGTGATCTTCTAGTTTACTTAACTCATAGATGGGCGGAGGCAGTAGAGTCCAAGGGGGAGGCATTGGCCGTTAGTTTGGACATAGCGAAGGCCTTCGATCGGGTCTGGCACAAGGCGCTTCTTTCGAAGCTTCCTTCCTATGGGCTTCCTGAGAAATTGTGCAAATGGATCACCAGTTTCCTTGCTGATCGGAGCATCAAGGTCGTAGTAGACGGTGCATGCTCTGATTACAAGCCTATCAACGCTGGTGTTCCACAAGGCTGCGTGCTAACACCAACGCTGTTTCTCCTGCATATCAATGATATGTTGCTAACTGGTAGCATTCATTGCTATGCAGACGACAGCACTGGGGATGCCTTATATACCGGCCGTGCCAATATTTCTCGGGAAAACGTCGCCGAGTACCGGGACAAACTTGTGTCTGAAGTCGAGTCTTTGCTTAACAAAGTCTCGGATTGGGGCCGACTAAATCTAGTCCAGTTCAATCCCCAGAAGACACAAGTTTGCGCGTTTACCGCTAAAAAGAACCCCTTTGTCGTATCTCCTCAGTTTCAAGGCACTCCCCTTGCTGCCTCAGCCAGTATCGGAATCCTTGGCGTCGACATATCGAATAGCGTGCAGTTTCGTGGTCACTTGGAAGGGAAGGCCAAATTGGCCTCTAAAAAGCTTGACGTGCTCAGCAGAGCGAGACAGTATTTCATGCCGGCACATCGCTTGCAACTTTACAAAGCGCAAGTTCGGCCCCACATGGAATACTGTTCTCATCTCTGGGCCGGGGCACCCCAGTGCCAGCTCCTTTCACTTGACCGCATCCAGCGCAGAGCGATTCGAATCGTCGACGACCGAGTTCTTTCCGATCAGCTCGATACACTGGCACTGCGTAGAGATGTTGCATCTCTTTGCGTATTTTATCGCATCTATCACGGGGAGTGGTCTGAGGAATTGTTCGGACTAATTCCAGCCGCTCAATTTCACCATCGCACGTCGCGACAAAACTTGCGTTACCATCCGTACCATCTGGATGATTGACAGTCCACCACTGTGCGATTTAGAAGAAGTTTTCTCCCTCGCACAACTTCTTTGTGGAATCAATTACCACCAGCGAATTTTCCGAACCGATACGACTTAGGAACCTTCAAGAAAAGAGCTTACACCTTTCTAAAAGGCCGGCAACGCATCTGCAATTCCCCTGGTGTTGCGGTTGTTCATGGGCGGCGGTAGTCACTTACCATCAGGTGAGCCGCAAGCTCGTTTGCCCCCTATTCTATAAAAAAAAAATACTATTTTGTTACACCTTTAGTTAGTATATAAGACCGGGGAAAAAGTTTCTTCGTATATTGTATACAAATTCAAGACGTTTTTGTTTTTAAAGTTTTATTACATTTAATTATAATATATATGGGTCCATTCTGTTCGATAATTTGTTACCATCTTGTAGGTAGTAACATAATAAAAAATAAACGTTGCTGTAGAAATCTTGGGATTTTGATTAAAAAAATGCGACAAGTAGTTTTATTTGATATATTCAATACCAGAGATTTGAAGGAACATGGATTTAGTCATCCCATTTATAATGAAAAAAAAATTATAAACTTAAATATTAAAACCTCCAGAAAGTTTTCTTTTAAAGAACACAAGCAACAAAAGAAAATAATGACTAAAACTTTTAAACCAGTTTTAAGTACTCAAGCAAATACTGGATTTTTAGGAATGTTAGTGTGTTTTGAAAGTCTCAAACAGATAACTAATTTTGTGATCTGGCGTTATCATGATGAAAGACCACTCCTTTTCTGATTATCAATGCCAGCCGTTTTTTTTCTTCTATTTTTTACTTGTCTCATTATTTATTGGTAGTATAATATATCCGAATCAATGGTTTTACCCGGCGGTAAAAGCTCATGATAAACTTTCAATCTCACCATACACACAGCATCATTTTATTGCGTGTTAATCCAGGTTTCGCTTTAGTCTCTAAACAAAACATATATCAATACAGAAAAAAATCACGTTTCTTGTATGGTCTTCATACAAGAAACGTGATTTTTGGGTCCTTTAATATTTTACTTGTTTTCTTTTTTATTTTATGTTGTTATAGCAGCAATATAAATACACATTCTATGAAAATTCTACATATTACGGTTCATAAGATACAGCCTACTGACAGACAGACGGAACGATAGTGGAGACTTGGGTCCCGTTGATACTTTTTGGGTACGGAACCCTAATAAACGGCAATTATGTCATTTGAGCAATACTACAGAAATAAACATTAAATAATATATTATAATAAGTTAAATATATTATATTATAAAATACCATCATCATCATCATCATTACAGCCCTTCACAAGTCCACTGCTGAACATAGGCCTCCCCCAAAGAATGCCACAAAGCACGGTCCTGAGCCACCTGCATCCATCGACTTCCTGCATGTCTTACCAGGTCGTCACTCCATCTCGTGGGGGGACGCCCTACACTTCGCCTACCGGTACGAGGCTGCCACTCGAGAACCTTTCTTCCCCATCGGTTGTCGGAGCAGAAGTGCGGCGGTCTTGTTCTTCAAGAAAGGTGACAACGCTCTCTTGAAGAACTACAGACCGATTTCCCTTCTGAGCCGCGTCTACGTGCTGTTTTCGAGAGTCATTACGAATCGTCTCGCGCGCAGACTTGACGACTTCCAGCCTCCCGAACAAGCCGGTTTCCGAAAGGGCTAGAGCACCATAGACCACATACATACCCTTCGGCAAATTGTACAGAAGTCCGAAGAGTACAATTTGCCACTATGTCTGGCGTATGTGGACTATGAGAAAGCCTTTGATTCCGTCGAAATTTGGGCGGTGCTGCAGTCCCTTCAGTGGTGCCAAGTTGACTGTCGGTATATCGAAGTGTTGAAGCGCATACAGTAGGGCTACGATGGCTATCCGAGTACAGAACCAGAGTACGAAACCTATCCAATTGCAGAGAGGTGTAAGACAGGGTGACGTCATATCCCCGAAACTCTTCACCGCTGCATTGGAAGACGTTTTCAAGCTTCTCGACTGGAAAGGATACGGTATCAACATCAATGGCGAGTACATCACTCACCTTCGATTTGCCGACGATATAGTCCTTATGGCAAAATCGCTGGAGGACCTAAGCACTATGCTCAATGACCTCAATAGTGTTTCTCAACGGATACGTCTTAAGATGAACATGGACAAAACTAAGATCATGTTTAATGTCCATGTCACACCTATGCCGGTAGTTGTTGGGAACACTAAGCTCGAAGTTGTTGACGAGTATGTTTACCTGGGACAAATAGTCCGACTAGGTAAGTCCAACTTCGACCGAGAGGTCAATCGACGGATTCAACTCGGTTGGGCAGCGTTCGGGAAATTACGGCACATCTTCTCGTCAGGTATACCTCAAACCTTGAAAACGAGACTGTACACCCAGTGCGTGTTGCCAGTGATGACATTATAAAATATAGTAACAATAAATTCACATATAAAAATCTCAGCCACGGGTAACTTTATTTTTGCATTCGCGGCAACACTGAATAGCGTCATTGATATTTTGTGACTTATTTATGGCTCGTATTATTTTATGTTAAAACTAGCTGTTCCCCGCGACTTCGCTCGAGTGTTAGGGTTTTTATGTTTTTGCGCGGAACCCTAATTCTTTTTCTAAAATTAAAGTAGTCTAAGTTACTCCTTGTGAAATCAGCTATCTGCCAGTGAAATTCCCGTCATCGGTCAATCGGTCCAGCCGTTTCGGAGATTATCCGGAACAAACAGACAGACAGACAAAAATTTTAAAAATTGTATTTTAGTTATAGGTACCGTATTTACTTTCATATGTATTTAGTAAAAAACTGTAATTTTGACATTACAAACAGACACTTCAATTTTATTTATTTGTATAGATTTTGAAATTGTATGATAGGTACTTAATGATAGTATGTGATTCCAGTGTCTTGTAGTATTATTTTTACACAGTTTCAATACGTAAACTGCTATTTTACTTCGGATTATGATCAACATTTTAATAAAACATTCGGTACGTTCACCTCACACGTTGTTCGCGACTGGCTCGGGTACGCCGATTTCGGCGTAGTATTTGTTGCCGCATTTTACATGAGCGCCGGCGGTATCTAGTCAGAGCGCGCGATAACTTATCATTAATCTATGGATTATAAGTAAGGCCGCTTACTTTTATAATAATTATATACATATATTAAAATTTTAGTTAATAAAATGTACCTTAACGTAAAATTGAAAACAGACTAACTTGATGAAACATACAAAATTTAAATTATACGTCAACCACCAAATTAATAAAAGTTAAACGCCTTAGGGCGCGTTCCGACGACACGCACCCGCCACGCGCACGCCACGCGCGTCACACCCGCGTCTAACTCGCTTTGAAATTTGTTGCATATAATTTGAGTCTTATGACAAATCAATAAATCTAAAATTATATAAAAAGCGCGTGTGCGGGGTGAGCGCGGGATCAGCGCGGAGCGGGAACGAAGCGGGAGCGAAGATGGGCAGCAGCATCTTCCCGATAAGAACGCAATAATAATAAAAAGAAACTATAATATATAAAATACCCTCCTTACCAGGAAATCTATGGGGGAGACCTGTTCAGCATTGGACAATAGTTTGTAAAATTACTCATTAATCACTTTTTTCAATAAGGTTGTAAGTAATTATTTCATTCAGCCACAAGTCCACTGCTGATCATAGGCTTTCGCCAAGGAATGCCACAAAGCACGGTCCCAAACCACCTGCATCTATCGACATCCTGCATGTACCAGGTCGTCACTCCACCTAGGGGGCCGCCCTACACTTCGCCTACCGGTACGAGGCTGCCAAAAATATTTCTATATGAATATCATCATCATCATTACAGTTCTTGTTTAACACAATATAATATGCTTCCCGCATAAATTGCCCCGTATTCATCCATGAGGATTCGCTTAAAACTTCGCTCGTCTGCGAGGTTGCCACCTTTCTTCCGCATTGCTGTCGCTTCTTTAGCTATATGGCCGGCTACTTCATCCTACTAATTAGAAACGCTTTGTCATATACTTTTGTTTTTTTTTTTGCGAATATCCACATTACGGAATTTATCACGCAGACAAACTTCGAGCTATAGCCCTCTCCATAGCTCGCTGAGTGATGAGCTCTTCCCCATACGGCCAGCGGTTAAGGAACTTGTTTCGGTTATAATAAATTGTATTTTTGTCAGTAAGAAATCAAACTTAACAGAATGGTGTTTGCATGGGAAGACATCGCCTCCCGCTTACAGACCTGCTTGTGTGAATGGAACTTACCCACACAGGCTTTTTATTTTCTTGTAATGTTTTTAATTTCTATTATTTTTATAGAGTATTCTTCATACGCACCGCAATATCGTGGTATTACAACTGGTCTTTAAACAAGAATAGAGCAAAACTCAAGAAGATGAGAGAAGAAAAGAAGAAAATACTAGAAGAGGTCATGAATAAAGAAACCTATAAGGTGAGTGTGGAATTCATAATTTTATTCTGTTAAATAGGTCATATGTTTAATTTAATATATTTTCCGATTTTTGTTTCCTGGTTTTGCTTCAGAACTATTGTCTTGTTACATTAACTCTGCCTTTTTGTACTTGGTGTGTAAATAAACGCTAAATAAATATGTAAATATATAAATTTATAAATGAAGACTTCATGATAACGACTTTACGTTATAGAAAGTTCATGGAACGCATTAGCAGTAAATACAATATATCACTAAAATAAAGGAAGTAGTAAATATGCAAATTAAATGTAACACCGCCCACCACCGCCACTATGCAATAACAGCTAGTATTGTTATTATATTTAAAAAAAATACTACGACGAACAGAATAACGACAGCAGTTAAAAGACTAAAGGAACGACTTCAGCTACTACTCGTAGTTGCCTGCGCAGTACTTAATACTACTTGAACGAGTGGGAGTTTCCACCTTATTTGTTTTCTACCCTTACTTACACTTTTCCCGTTGTGGAGCAATATTGGTGATTCTGTAGTTTTATAATTTTTTTCTTTTATTCAATAACGTTATTGTACGTAACGATATTCTGGCCTTCAACTGAATAATTTCAAAAATACCGGTAAGTTACGGCGGTGAGGGCCGTGGGTTCGAATCCCGCACGGAACAAGTAATTGTTCCGGGTCTGGATATTTGTCCTTGTGCAATTTATATATGTAAACTGCTGTTTATGTTCAAATTTGGTCATTTTGAACGCCATCCAATTGCGTTCGAGCTGGTGCGTCACCCGATGGTATGTAGGTGAAATAAACGCCGCCAGGTGGGGCGGCCGTGTGCGGCTTGCAGTGGCTCGACGCGTGGGCGAAGAAGCAGTAGCTCGCTGGCCGCGATGCGGTGAATCCGCGTATCTTGATTATCGCGGCTGAAGTTCACGCGACCATGTAGGGTCCAGATAGTTAGATTTAGTGCGTGTTACTTCGCTACATGGTTATGTGAATTTTGCAATATTTAACTTGTTCGGGTGATGCGGAATTGTGCACGCGCGCGCCGAGTAGATATACGGTCTAGGATTCGAACCGCGCATTTCTTGGTCGAGAGCGTCTCCCGGTTGTTTGTCTGGAAATCATTATAATTGTGCCGTCGCGTTAAGTGCCCTTTTTTGTGTGTTGGCTGGTTTGTTAGTTTACGTGTCAACGAGGCGTATTTTGAATTCTTTTCGCGGCGTGGTGTTTTGGTGTCGAATGAAGGAACTTAGTTGTGTTTAACGCTGAACCGTATGACTCATTAAGAGATCGCGTTAGTTCCCTATTTATAATTTTGTGATAAGTGAATCCGGGACATTGAATGTCGAATTTTGAACTACTGTCCGTACTGTGTCGAGTATCACGTGTTCGATTCTACGATGAATGTGGAATTAGGCGAGTTTAAGTTAGTTAAATGTACAATGTAGCTAATAGACTGAAATAGTGACAATGAAGAAAGAAATGGTCCAGCGGTGGAGCCTGCTGGAGCGATGCAGCATTGTGGGGCAGCCTGGAACTCGGCCGCTGCTGGTTGCCTAAGCTGGTCCAGGTCTCAGACATTTACACATCACTAAACACTACTTGCCATGCACCTCACACCCACTTACGGCCTGACCGAGCCTTGGGGCAATCTAAGAGTCGGAAACAGGTACGTACTATATTTCCCTAGCCTTCTCCCATATAGCTTTGTATTATAGGAAATTCTTCCATATGGCCATTGGGCCCGACCTGCGTCTGCCCGTCATGGAAGCTGCTATGGGCCCCAGCCAAGACGACCTTTGCAGGGGCAGCTGTAGGCCGTAACAACTGCCTCCACGATACAGGAGAAAGTCATAGTCTGAGAGTAACAGTTTTTTAAGAGCAAAAATAATGAGTTTACCTCATTCGCCACGCTTTACAGGGGCTACTTTGGGTTTGGTCATTATACGTTTGATGTAAACGAGGTGTTTATATCGTCGTCTATCGAAAATGATGAGAGCTTTCTGGTATTTCTAATAGTCGTCTCTTACGACACTAGCGCCAAGAAATTAAATGATGGATCTACTTACACCGCCGCGGTCACACGGCAGCTCACGTATGAATGTCTTAAATCTTCAATGATCGATGATACTAAGTGATTGTATCGTACCTTGATGAGAAATACTGATTATTCACCAGCAGGTTAACTGTTTGTCTTATAAAGTTTTTGTGTTCCGCTGTATATACAAAGGTTTTAATGAATAGTTATAACAGAATGGTTATAACAGAATTAGATAAAACCTATGAGATTTTTCTTTGAATATTAATCTCAATATTATAATAAAAAATATTCAGTGTTTATTTTATATTTTAATTTTTCAATATACTTTAAGGACTTTTCTATTAAATATATTATATAATATTATTTTTTCGCTTAAAATACTTTCTAAAGTACTTTCATTTTTTTATAGGATAGGGTGACAAACGAGCACACAGTCCACCTGATGGCAAGTGGCTGCTGTGGCACATCTACATCTATCCTCGTTTGTGAATCAAAATGCAGATGCGTCGTCACCCGTGAGGACTAAGATGGAATGCCTCTGTTCCAGTAAAATAGGTATCCGATTCTCTACACTCACCATACGAAACACAGCAGTGTTAAGCTGCTATCTTACGCTGGTATTCTGTGAGAGCGTGGTCCTACCCCGGTCGAGCCAACCCATTTGTGCTACAAATATACTATTAATATAGCTGCAGCGTGGCTCTACCACGTAAATAATTATTATTATATTATAATTACGCAACCTATCACAATGGCACTTAACATACGATTAAAGAAAGAATCAAACTATCGAATGAGTAGTATTCATTTATTTACATACTACATTCAAATCTCGGTTAGGCCGAGAACTTTTCAAACTGTCCTCGTACACTAATTCTAATGCCTCCTCTACACTACTCGCGACGTAACTTTGACGAAGTGCTCGTCGAAGTCGGTCGCAGTCCGAAGAACGTAGTCAACACACTCGTGAACCGAAGCACTTCGCGAAGAGCTCAGTCTCCCGCACCCTCGACACGAATAACGTTCAAGAGGCAGCTGCTATAAGTACCTACATATTTAATATTTATATACAACAAAAGTATTCATAACTGGCGTAAGCGTAGTGAGACGCTTCGTGTAAATTCGGGGTACTTCACGAAGTCCTTTGACTCTGGCGCAAAAAACCGACAGCTATCGGAAGTCGCCCTAGGCGAAGCGAGGTTGCACGAAGCGAATCGAATTACCTCTCTCCACTATTTGCCTCGTCCATCTTCGATCTACTTCGCGAGTATTGTAGAGGAGGCATAAAGTTTTATTAAGTTTTGATTGAATTTTACCTCCCTTTCTAAATTTCGAGATAAATTAAAAGTTCATGTCTGAATAATAATTGTACAGTGCACGAAAACGTTTTTCATGTATTTACTTTAAAATGAAGACCTCCATAATTTCCAAGTTAGTCAAAACCTACTATCAACATTATAAATTTTTTTTTCTTAAATTACCCCCAGCATTTGCAGTTTTGTTATCTATTTTATTATTATATTTTTATTTTTATTACACCGCAGGTCGCAAAGGAGATTCTCGACAAGTACGGCAGCCCGGAGGAGCAGTCGAATGCGTTGAAACCGTTCTTACCAGCGATAGCCGCGCCAAACAACACTTCTAGCACGTCCACTCCAGGTAGATCGGTCGTTGCAACTTTATATAGTTTTCTTTCTAGACCCTTTAGAGTTGTGCGACATGATTACCAGCATATTGTTTAACCTTGTAAAAAATAAAAATAAAATTCTTACTAAACTGGAACATTATCGCTCGAAATCACTCGTAAAAATTGGCACATACCCGGACCTTTTATTTGAACACAAGGTGAATGTCAGGCTGCTATTATTACAAACTGGGAATCATTTTGGTCATGTGGTGCAAAATTTGCATGTGTTTTAAATTACGTTTCGCTACCTTCTGAATGGTTCTGAATTAGTTTCAATCTTAACCAAATTTTTGCGTTTTTAAGGTTTCCCCATCCGCAACATTATTTATATTCGCATATCTGATAGTGACATTAGTAATCCATTTTTAATATATCTGTTTAGTGAAGAGGCGAAAAAAGTATATTGTTACAACCTTGGGGTTAGAGACAAATAAAAACGGCCGATTGAATTACCAAAATTGACACTTTAATTACAGAACACTAATTACAATTTAAAACCACACTAATAAAACACCATTGTACTACTGATCACTTTAGTTCGCAGTTATTTCGCTTCGAAGTATTCGCTTGTATCGCCAATTCAATACTGACTCGGTCGTGGTCTATACCGGCCTTATATAGAGCCTCAGATAGTTTCCAGAACCTTCTACTGTAGAAACATCTAGAATGTTCGAGTACATATCGGTCCAGAAATTTCTATAATGATCTTGACTCTCCTAGTTCTGCTACTCAATACAAGAGGGCGCTAGCGGTAACTAGTGTTGCCATGTACAGACATAATAGTGGCACGCAACAATATCAATAATTGTGCAAAAAACCATTTCTCTGGTGACCGAACGTAATTTTTACATCCGCAAACATAAGACATTATTATCGCAAATGAATTCTACGAGTTCCATTTTAAAAAAAGGCATGTCTTATTATTACCACAGTTAACTATAACGGGTGTTTTTGTGATGTGATGACAAACCAAATCAAAAGACAAACCATGACTTTTAATCTGGTGTCCCAAGTGAATAATATCTTTTTAAAAACGATAGACATATTTATCCGGTAGTGGAAGCAAAGAAAGGAGTGGAGGAGGAGGCATTCATTGCTATGAGGTGATGACGCTGTATAACAATTAACAATTATTGCGTTTAATGTAAACATGTAAGCTAGATAATATTATACGGAATATTAATTATAAATATATTGTGATTTGATATGATACTAAATGATAGTAAAAAAATATTTACAAAAAAATTTTGCTATTATCCATGGTCAAATATTTCAGACGCTACTCAATTTAAGATGTCGTTAAGTCCCGTGTTATCGCAGACACTTTAACTTAAAGTGATAGAGACGAGACTTAACGACATCTTAAAATTGAGTAGCGTTTGAGTATTTGGGCATAATGCTTAAATACTCAAACGCTGATCAATTTTAAGATGTCGTTAAGTCTCGTGGTGTAACAGTGACTTTGACTTAAAGTGATAGAGACTGCATGAGTATGGTATAACAGTCACTTTGACTTAAAGTGATAGATACAGCACGAGACTTAACGACATCTTAAAATTGAGTAGCGTTTGAATATTTGGGCATAATGCTTAAATACTCTAACGCTGATCAATTTTAAGATGTCGTTAAGTCTCGTGGTGTAACAGTGACTTTGACTTGAAGTGATAAAGACTGCACGAGTATGTTATAACTTATAACAGTCACTTTGACTTAAAGTGATAGATACAGCACGAGACTTAACGACATCTTAAAATTGAGTAGCGTTTGAATATTTGGGCATAATGCTTAAATACTCTAACGCTGATCAATTTTAAGATGTCGTTAAGTCTCGTGGTGTAACAGTGACTTTGACTTGAAGTGATAAAGACTGCACGAGTATGTTATAACTTATAACAGTCACTTTGACTTAAAGTGATAGATACAGCACGAGACTTAACGACATCTTAAAATTGAGTAGCGTTTGAATATTTGGGCATAATGCTTAAATACTCTAACGCTGATCAATTTTAAGATGTCGTTAAGTCTCGTGGTGTAACAGTGACTTTGACTTGAAGTGATAAAGACTGCACGAGTATGTTATAACTTATAACAGTCACTTTGACTTAAAGTGATAGATACAGCACGAGACTTAACGACATCTTAAAATTGAGTAGCGTTTGAATATTTGGGCATAATGCTTAAATACTCAAACGCTGATCAATTTTAAGATGTCGTTAAGTCTCGTGGTGTAACAGTGACTTTGACTTGAAGTGATAAAGACTGCACGAGTATGTTATAACTTATAACAGTCACTTTGACTTAAAGTGATAGATACAGCACGAGACTTAACGACATCTTAAAATTGAGTAGCGTTTGAATATTTGGGCATAATGCTTAAATACTCAAACGCTGATCAATTTTAAGATGTCGTTAAGTCTCGTGGTGTAACAGTGACTTTGACTTAAAGTGATAGAGACTGCACGAGTATGTTATAACTTATAACAGTCACTTTGACTTAAAGTGATAGATACAGCACGAGACTTAACGACATCTTAAAATTGAGTAGCGTTTGAATATTTGGGCATAATGCTTAAATACTCAAACGCTGATCAATTTTAAGATGTCGTTAAGTCTCGTGGTGTAACAGTGACTTTGACTTAAAGTGATAGAGACTGCACGAGTGTGGTATAACAGTCACTTTGACTTAAAGTGATAGATCAGCACGAGACTTAACGACATCTTAAAATTGAGTAGCGTTTGAGTATTTGGGCATAATGCTTAAATACTCAAACGCTGATAAATTTTAAAGTGCTATTAAGTCTCTTGCTGTCTCTATCACTTTAAGTCAAATTGACTATGACGCCACGAGACTTGACTACATTTTAAAATTGAGTAGCGTTTGGGCATTTGGCCTTAATTCAATTATAAGGATAATTGGGCTTCCAAATATCAAATTTCGGTAATATTCAGTAAAAAGTTTAAATAAGTTAAGAGGTTTATGAGTACTCTTTTGTTATAATACCTAGTTATTGTATTTTTTTTAGCAAATTATTGGCAGTTATTAAACATTTTAAATTGTGATAGTCTAAATGTAGTGGTGTATGAGGTGCTGACATTGTTTAATTATTATTGTTTATGATTTAAGTTTAATATAGTTTATATTTTATAAATAATTACCTAATACGATATTAAATTAATTTAATAATATAAATATTTAATAAAATAATAAAAATTATTGCATGATTTTTAGTGTGTTTAGGATTGAGGTTTGTATGCAATACACAATAATTAAAATTTAATTACTAGTATATCCCTTAAAAGAACTGACTTCATCACTACATTTGGTACAAGAAAAAATAGCAAAGTTGAAATTCAACAAACACTTTAAGAAGTAAACGTACTGATTAAGCCGTATGTCATAATTGTATTCCACATCTTAACACACAAATACACGTGTTATAAATAACCAGGTCGGCAACAAGAAGTAGCAACATATTAGTCTGGTACTGCGATAGTTGATCCGCATCCGGATTGTGGTCCTTGTGGCATCTGCTATGGACTAAACTACTCTAGATCTACTAGGGACTAGAAACCTAGCAGTGGACTGTTAACGCGTGTATGAGGAACTTTAACTTCAATAATCTCTTTTAATTTTTATCAAAATGTTAAATTTCTATATTATTGAGTCATAATATTTTTTTAATTATAATAGTTTTAGCGAACCGTACCGTACAGAGTACCAAGCCTCATAGGGGGGTATATTTGCCATAAATACTACGTTTGGCAATCGGGTTGGAAACCGAAGTTTTTTTTTTAGTTGTTATTAGGAAGTTCCATTCATCCTTCCATCTCCTGTTTTGTTTCCTTTTTGGGTTTACTCTTTATTGTGAATAAAAATTAAGTGAAAAAAATATTAATATCAGTTTAGGTGATAATTTACGAAAACTTGTAACAAATGTTTAAAGTATACATTTATATAGTGTGTATTAATGCTTAAACAATTTTACATTTTAATAAAAACATGGAAATAATTTTGATTTTTTTAGATACCTTAACCTATAAAGTATATATTACATTACTTTTTAAGGTAGGAACTATTTGCTTTTTAAATGTATTTACTCGAATTATAATACAAAGAGTAATTAGTAATTATAGTTATTCTCTTTTTTTCTTTTGCAAAATACTTATGATTACATTAAAAAATTACTATGGAAAATAACACTCGAATTGAGAAGTTCCTTCTTTTTGAAGTCTGTTAAAAAACCAACCATTACACTAGGCTTATGCCTATCATGAGGGAGAAGGCAACTACGATTTCCATATAAATAAATCTCTTTAAATAAAAATCAATTGCTATCCGGCTCGACAGATCTTGATGAAATTTTTTGTATCTCTGGATGGTTTAAATTCACAATTGGATCCGGTAGGTGGCGCTATTGTAGAGATTCAGAAATCACCCTTGCGAAGCCGGGGTTAATCACTAGTATATACATAAAAACTTATATGGTCTTATATAAACCCTCTTCGATATCGTTATCACTTTTCTCGCGCGATTGTTAGTGTTGCACTGGACCCGTGCTCGATTTATATCATGCATCGCGCGTCGATACACTATATTCGCAGTCCAAACGAACATTGAATACACGTTCTTATGACCGCAGTATGATCAAAGAGATAAGATACGTTACCTTCTTTGCTCACTTCATTTATCGTGTAAAGTCTATATAAAATTATGTACTATATATTTTATTTCTTCGATTTATATTTAAAAAAAATTTTGCTGATTAACCGCCAACACTCATTGACGCAGCACGGTGAAAACTTCTTTGCCCTAAAACCCTCTCAGAAATGAGAGCAGGTCTGTGCCCCAGCCATTGTCCTTATATAGTCTGTCACTTTTATAAAATAAAATATATATACTCATGGACAAATTTAGAGGAACGCAAAAAAATTGTGTATAAAACAAAATATCATGGATATTTGTGACAATTAATTTGGATTTGGCTAATTATTCGTTAATTTAAAATTGCAAACGTCGAGAAAACAAACGTTCAAATGACAAAAATCAACCAAATTAAAAAAAAGTAAAATTTTACAGGAAATAATAATTTTTGTACTTAACATTTTGTTCATTTTTTTTCATCAAATGCTTAATAAAGGCTAAAACGTGGGCTATAATCTGTACTTATTGTTGCCCCCTCTAGCTTTTTGAACTTCTTCCAGTCTCATTCCTTGGCATACTCCTAGTCAAGTTATCAATAAAATCTTGAGTGCATTCCATTCTTCCTGTAATGCATTTTCAAGATCTCTCAAATTAGTGGGGATAGGATTTATTTTCTTAATTGGTCTTCTAAGTTTACCCATATATGTGCTCTATGGGGTTTAAGTCGGTCGAGTGCGCAGGTCACACCCATAGCATTGATTTAATGTCTCTAAAGTATTCGACAACAACGAAAGTTTTCGTAATTGCGAGCAAAATTAACTCTAAAGGAAGCCTCTGGCAGGCTAGTGTGAATTTATTCCGGCTGATTTCAGTCTTTTTCTCACAGTTTTTGTGCTTACTATAACCCCTTTAACTTGTTGGAGCTTTATTCTCCAACTTCGTTCTTAGAAGTTAAAAGTAACAGCTCTAGTAAGTTGATTGGCGTTTCGATCTTGCATTCTCAGTTATACAGTAATAATTCACACTTAATACGATTAACAAAGCAGTCAAGGTAAAAATTTAAACCCAAATTAAAAAGTCGGAATATGTTTTTGCAGTATGAAATAATGCAATATTACGCAATAATTACAGCTCTTCACAAGTCCACTGCTAAACATAGGCCTCCCCCAAGGGATGCCACAAAGCACAGTGCCGAGCCATCTGCATCCATTGACTTTCTGCATGTCTTACCAGTTCGTCACTCCATCTAGTGGGGGACGCCCTACACTTCGCCTTCTGGTACGAGGCTGCTACTCGAGAACCTTTCTTCTCCATCGGTTGTCGGTTCTTCGAGCTTCGTTGTTAACTCGCTCGCCAAGCGTGGCAACTATGGCAATATACCACCCATGACGAGAGTTACAAATAATTACATAAATCAAACGAAATTCGAAAAAAACTCCAAAACTTTTTTTAATAATAGCATTTATTAATGTTTATGGCCAGTACGCACAATGTTGAATTATTGAATTCATTACTTTTTCTGCTACCAGGGCAACGCCACTTTCGAATGAGGTGAAATATTTGATAGATTTCACAGCGCGGAAGTTAATTTGTTAGGGAAATGTATGTAAGGGTTAATGTTTTTTTCTGTTAATTATGTGCAATATTAGTTATATTTTATATTAATTAAATTAGGAACGAATAAACCTCACTACAGATATTCATAATTTAAAAAAAAAGAGTTAAAAATATGCAAAAAATTACAAACATCTAAAAATAAAAAAAATACTCTAGAAACTGATAAACATTTATTTAAAATTATTTAAGATTTATTTCTTGATTAAATGACATTGTGTAACATAAAAATCACCTCAGACTAACTTGCGACATCTGGTGAGCGGAAGATTATTGGTCCTCATTACAACAGGCGATATTAAACTTTTTTGAAGTGAAACTTCTTTATCGATGTAGTGAAGTTTAGTACGGTATAAAAAGAGCCAAAAAGTCACGTTTTCTTATAACGATTTTTTGTAACGTTTCACCGCCGAGGTTCCATGAGCATACTATTATTTAACCCGCCTATGTAAAATATAAAATAAAACAAGAATGATATGTCGTAAAGAAGTTTCACTTCGTGCGTGTGTACACAATTACACGCACAATTTTTTTGCGTACCTCTTAATTTGTCCATGAGTGTATATTTTTCTTCGACGTAAGAAATTAAAATTTTGTTTGACGAACGTCCTTCTTAAAACTCTACCGTTTCTTTAAATCAGGTCCCTCTCATCGAATAAGATACGTCGAAAGAAAAAGTAAAAGTAAAAATATGTTTAAAAAATAGAATTAAATAGTACGTATTTTTTAAATTAAAAAGAATACACTCATTAGTAAGTGAAACAGTTCCATGATTTCAAGCCCTTTGTTGTCGATATTCCAAGCATTCGAACCAAATAGTTTGCTTTGTTTATCGTTATGAGTACAGCATAGGAGTTGATAAAATCTGTCTTTCTATTGGATTACAACCAGGGCGTCTTCAACTGAATAAACAAAGTAAATAAACTTTTGTTAGGCTAAGGCAGTGTGATTCACCATCTTGGCTTCACTGCCTATCACCAGGTAGGATTGTAGTCGAGCAATGGCAATACAGTAAAAAAAAATTGTAATTAAAATATTTAAGCAGTTGTTTTGAAAATAAATTCTTAGGAAGCACAACTTCTCAAGAGTTCCTGGTGACGGCTCCGGCGCTGGAGAACCGCTAGTTTGAATCCAGCACGGAACAAGAGTTTGTTTAATTTATGTATATAAACCGCTTCTGCAATACAGAAGAAAATCTTACTGTAGGGATAACGTTTCTTTTTTTTTAAGTTGGGTCTTGATATTGCCGGTTGATTTTCTACACTCGTCAGTGGCACGGACAACAACCAGTTATTGTCGCTTTAAAGTAATCAACAAGCATGTTTAATACCAAATGTAATGAAATCTCGGATCGTATGGTTTACGAGCGAGATCTGTCTCGTAATATGTTATGCGCAAGATCTCGCAAGCCTCATAACTTACATGATAAATAGCAAAAACGAATGACGGAGATGGGAAACCTAAACTCTCAGGAGTATTTGCAATATCAGAACCGAACGTTTCGAATCATTGATTCTGGTCCTGATCGACTATTCAGTTGTTCTAGACCCGCCATATACCATCTCGTTAACGTCTGGCGTTAACGAGATGGTTATACTAACATTCATCGGAAAAATGAATGAATGATCTTTCTGGCATGTCATAGTAGCCTCTTACGATACCCACCGGACGAAATGTTGTGATGAATTCTCTTATGTCGGCACACCACACAGCAACTGGAACGGGAACGTCGAAAGTGCAAGACGTCTGATATTGCGTTCGCCAATTCGGCATGTCAAGCGTACTAATTAAGGCATATCCTCCCTGCAGCAGAAGAGCCTCCTGTTCAGCCTTGGGCTCTTAAGAGCCGAAAAAGAGTAAAAGAAAAGCAATAATTTATGATGTTTGCATGGGTTAGTGGGACCGGGTCAAGAATTTGAATACTGCGGCGCGAATCCTAATGTTAGAATTCTGGAGTCAATACTTATATGAAAACACAAACTATTTCAAATCAAATTCATTATTTACATAATACAGGTATAAAAGTTGTTACAGAAAATTAGAATGTGTATTGTTTTTAAACTTTTCGGTGTTAAGTTTGCCTTTGTACTAAATTGTTTTGAGTGCAATAATTTAGTGCAGTAATTTAGTTTGCTATTTATCTATCTATTGTTATTCAGGCCTGGTTGTGTTGTGAATATCCCTGTATCACTCAGACTGTAACCTAGCCTAGTACAGCGGTTTGTGTACATAGAAGCATTAATATAGCTATTGCATGGTTGACAGCTTCAAAAACCTAATTTATTTTAGTAATTTAAAACCACAGGACAAGCGTATTTGATCTTCAATTATGTGACACTTGCTAATAATAATCTGAGAAATATTTTTTTATGCAGCTAAGACGAGTAGTCTATATGGTGACAAGTAGATGCTGTGGCCCCATGACATCTATATCAAATTTTTTCAGAACTATATTAAATGAGATTTTTACGGGAAAATCATTTTAAAAGCTTTGCTTTTGTTTTAAGAAATAAAAAAATATATTCGAAGACGTGAAGTTCGCCAACACGCATTGGGGCAGCGCGGCGAACATTTCCTTGCCTTAAAACCCTCTCAGAAATGAGGGGAGGCCTGTGCCCAGCAGTGGGACGTATATAGATTGTAACTTTAACTCTTCTTTGTTTTAAAACTTGCAGTTGGTTTCTACCACGTATACATGTAGTATATAGATTGTTAATTGTTGTAATCTTAATTTGTTCTAGCTACACCAGTGTCACTACGACAAAAACAACTTGCTCTGCAGGCAACGACACCTGTGAACCGTAATATGAACTTGGTGCCGGTGAACAACACGCCCACTGCTTTGTACAAGGGACCACGACTTCGAGTAAGTTCTTATTAGCTAAGCATAGGTGTAAGTACGAGTGATTGTTGCTTCGAATGTGATAAAAAAAAACAATAAAACAAAAGCTCCGCTTCACTACAGAAATATGTTTCTGATAATTTAGTTTACCTTGGTAGGTAAATGTGATATTTAACCTTTGTTAGGGTTGTCGATATGTAAAAGTGTAGAATCGGTCCACTTGCAGTACTAACTTAGGTCATCTTTTTTCTTGAGACCATATTATTATCAGTATCTTCGAATATATACCTAGTCAGGTCATAAATTCTGTCACATGTTTAATATAAAATAATTGAAACAAGTTTATTCATTATGTAACCATTTATATACCAAAATGAACTTAACAAAACATAGATTCTTATGACACTAAAGTTTATTCAAAATGACCTCCGTGATTTTGAATACAGGCCTTCAATCTGCGCGGCCAGTCGTCTATCGCAGCACGAACAAGGTCCATGTCAATAGCGGCGGCTGCCTTAATCAAGGATGTCTTGAGTGACTCCAAATTGGGATGAGGCTTTGAGCACGCCTTTTCCTCCAAGTGTTGTCATATCTTGTAATCTAACGGATTCAAATCTGGACTGGAGGAGGGCCAGTCTTCGTGCCGGATGAAGTCGATTTCACGCGCCGCCAGCCAGTCTTGTGTGCTCTTCGCTCTATGAGCTGGGGCCGAATCTTGTTGGAATACCCAGTGCCTGTTATTAAACATGGTATGAGAAACAGGTTCCACAAGGTTCGTCAGGACTGTATTTTGATACACAACTGCATTCGTTTTTACACCTTTCTCACAAAAATGTACCTCTGTTAAGCCCCAATAAGAAACTCCCAACCATACCATGAGCGAGGATGGAAAATGACCTCGTTGGACACGCCGAATACGGTTGCTTGCTTCTTCACTACTGTGTGCGTACACCTTATCATTTTGTTTGTTGTAGCTCTCTTCTACGGTAAAAATTTTTTCATCCGAAAAAAGAATTTCCCGATATTTTTTCCCGCGTACCGCTTCCACAAAGCGTGGCATCTCTCCAGTCTCAGGTCCATTAGACGAGCATTCAAACGATGTCCTGTTTTTCTTCGATATGCCCGAAGCCCTAAGTCTTCATTTAACACCCTTTTCACCGTGGTTCTGCTTAACCCCATCTGAAGGGCCAACAGTTTCTGCTTACGTTTGGGATTTCTTTGAATTCGCGCCTTCACAGCTTTTATCGCTGCTGGAGTCCTAACAGACCGAGGGCGACCACTTTTTGACCTATCATCTACACTAGAGTCTTCATTGTATCGTTTGATGGTACGATAAACCAATCTTTTGGTTATATTCAAAGTTTTCAGTATGTCAAAAATTTGAATTGGCGCGTAACCGCAACGATGCAACGCAATAACTGCAACACGGTCTTTTTTAAGCGTCCACTCCATATTTAAAAATGAGTAAAATTCTAAAAAGTATACAGTTTTATTTTCATGAACAATTCGAAATTCGAATTCAATAAACTTTTTTGTGGCCAGCATTCTAAAAGAAAAGTTTTTACTATGTGACAATACTTATGACCTGACTAGGTAATTTAGGTTCACATAAAATACTAATATACTTCATAAATTTAAGGTTATAACAAACGGCCCGTCTCGCTTTATTACGATAGAATATTTAATTTCAGCATAAACAATATTAGTATCAGTATTAGTATCAGGATATTAAAACTAGTGTGAAAAGTATCACTATCTTGAGACATTTCTCTTTCTTCATCATAAAAGTTTCAGTGAAATTTAAAGTATTTGATTCATCTTCAGTGATTGATTATTTGTACTTATCCAAAAATAATCACTAACGTCATTTTTGTTTTTATCATACATTGGCACCATTTTCTTTTTTATCAAAATGTAATGTTATCAAACAAAGCGTCAATTATTTTTTGTAAATGGAACGCAATATTGTATGTAGCTTATATGCCAATATAAACTAATGTAATAAAATATGCCAACCAATGCATGTTGGCAGGGAAGACCTATGGAGCCGGGACGTAATCCTTCACTGGCTGTAAGAGAAAGCTTAAAATCGCTCAAAGTGCTGTACTGCACTAGATGGAGTAAAGACCTGTAGTGCGATTGTGTAACTCCAATGGAAAGTGTGGTTGGTACTTAGTATTATAAAAGCCGACTGTTTTAATATTAATATCTAAATTAAATTAATATAACACAATCACAATTAAAAGCATAATTGCGGAGTGTTTACTATTTATTGGCATACGATTCTCAACTGGTAAGCCATGCACGAAATCGATCGTGGCTCAGTACCGTAATATTTATTTTAGAGTATGCTAATTTTTTAACCAATATTATTTTATAAAATTGTACTTTGTCATTATTTTCAGTCTGACCAACTTCCACGGCCTCTGCTGGATAGAAATCGCTCGGCGTTAGACAAGGTGGTGGACTATCTGCTAAAGGATGGACCCAACCATCGCATGGCACTTATATGCTCCGAATGTTTTTCACATAATGGTCAGTTGAATTTATTATAATATCATCACGAACAGAAAGTATCGTATTAAGTCTTACTCTAGAACACATAAACATAGCCCTTTCTTAATAATTGACCATCGTTTGAGTAGGTGTAGGTGTGTCTTATATAATGCTAATAAAAAGTGCAATAGGTGAACGACGTAGAATATTATGGCATAGATATTTTTCAAATTTATTGTTTTTTCATTGACATTTTACCTAGTTGCCGTTAAAGGTCAAGGACGTTTCATATTCGTTAATACCACGTGTAAGGCATGTTCCAGACGGATGTAATCCAGCGTCCTAACAGATTTGACCTTGGCAGGAATTTGGTTTCCATTCGCAGATTGTGTTTCGGCTAAACGGATCACAACCAAGCGCTAACACGGTCAAGCTTCACTGAATCGCGCTCACTTAGAATTAAGTTGTAGAAATGGCTCCTAATTTGTCCAAATTTAAATCCCACTAAGCATGGCAAATTTTAAATGGCGTTAGCTTTGCTGGTCCGTGGATGACATCTTGCACCCGCATATGTGAGCACCCGCTGCCTGCCGCAACACAAATGTCTTTGGTAAGCCGTCTGAACGGATGTAATCCTCGCGCTCCAACTGCGGATAGAAGCGCGCGCCCGTCGTCCTCCAAGGACGTTGAACTTCAAATAAAAATTTGGATTACATCTGCCGTCTAGATGGATGATAACAAGCAAGGTCACCTCTGTTAGGCCGCTGGGTTACATCTGTCTGAAACATGCTTAAAGTAGGGTGTGCACATGATTAGACCAGAATTTCGTTATGTTTAATCGTTTTTTTTTATTTATTCGAAATAAAACGGTTACTTATAAAAAATGAAAAATAGCTATGCCGTAGGTTGCGTTCACCTTACACTTCCCACGCGGTAAAAAGCGTCACCCGGTATAAAGGTAACTTGGTAAGTATTATAATTTTTCTCTTCATATTTATCGTTTTTAGAGTATCCATCGTCACTTGACACACACTTAATACATTCAAACCAGAGATATCATCTTCTTACCAATTTTTTCTTTATTTGAAGGTAGCCACTCTGCCTAATCGTCCCTTAGGTTTCGTAAGAGACGACAGAGGGAAACAAACCAGGAGACGAGTGCTGCTACTGCGTCTTTCTAATAACAACTGAAAAATGAAAGAAACTGTGGTTGCCAAATCGCCCGTCATGGAGGGCAACTAAGGTAAATTTCCCCCTATGAGACTGTCTAGGGAGGCCTATGTTCTGCAGTTGACTTTTGAAAGGCTGTAACGTTAACGGTATTTTTTTGTATCAGCGAATAAAGTTGATTTGTAGGCATTGAAGTAATATAATATATACCACATACTTGAAGAGACGACGAGATTTGGTTGTTTGCAACACGCCTTAAAGCCCGCGGACTCAAGGTTATTGTATGCTTCCAACCACACGGCCAGCACTGCCGCACAGATTTTGTTCGTGGTGCCCGTTCTAGTACGTAGTACATATTAATATTGGATAAGATGTGTAAATACTGTACAAAAAAAAGAAGTGTTGTATTATTTGTATTATTGAAAACATATGCGTTGTTATCAGGAAGAATCACATAGTATAATCTAAATCCATTTATTAGTGGAATATATTATGGTGAATATGATCATCTGGGATTAGAGCATTATAGATTTTTCATTCTTTCATTCATTACACCCTATCAAAACTCCATTGCTGAACATAGACCTTCTGTAAGATTGCTTTAGACGGGTTCGCAACCGCAGATTTTCATTATTTTCAGTTGTTGTCAAAAATATGCAGCAGCACATCTCCTGTTCCAGTTTCTAACTGTCGCCTCTAACGACACCCACGGGATGATATGGGGGTAATGGATATTCTTACACCGTCACTACACGGTTAACAATTATTTAAATAGTTTGTTTGTTGTGGTGTCAGGCATGGCGATGGTGGAGGAGTTCGAGTACGTGTCGTACGCGTGCGCGTACTGCGGCCGCCTGAACCCGGCGCGCAAGCAGCGGCCCGCCGCGCCGCCGCTGCAGCCCGCGCGCCCGCTGCCCGCGCCCCCGCCGCGCCTCGGTCAGTGCGCCCACCTAACGCCCCAAACGCTTCTACATATACTACTACACGGGCTCTGCGGCCCTAGTACATTGCGCACTAAGTTACGTTCATCATCATCATCATTACAGCCCTTCAAAGGCCTCCACAAAGCACGGTCCTGAGCCACCTACACCAATCGTCTTCCTGCATGTCGTACCATGTCGTCACTCCATCTAGTAGGGGACGCCCTACACTTCATCCGCCGGTACGAGGCCGCCACTCGAGAACCTTTTTTCCCTATCGATTATCGGTTCTTCGAACTACATTGCCGGCTCATTGCTATGTCGGTCACTCTGGTTCTACTGTGGATATCCTCATTTCTAAGTTTATTACATATAACCAATGCGTGTTGCCAGTGATGATGACCTATGGATCTGAGACGTGATCCTTCACTGCTAGCCGTATGAGGAAGCTCAAGGTCGCTCAGTGAGCTTTGGATAGGGCTATGCTCGAGATTTCTCTGCATGATAAGTTATGTTCAATGAGAGCTAATATTCTTTTTCACCAGATGTTGCTAGTATGTAATGATTTTATTACACAATGTCATATAATTGAGAATATGCGTTTTAAAAAAATTTCATAAAGTAGTTCTTTGTTTTGTAAACCGCAAACGCTGTTTGCAACAATTTAACACTGATTTTGTTTAATGTTATTAAGAAAACGCTGTCATTATTTATGTGCGCACTTTGTAAGGCGATTTGAATTTTATTTCATATGTCTAATAACTGCAACTGTCGTAAATGAAAAATAGAACCGCGTTGCATATTTACCATGTCAACTACACGCTTGCGCGTTTGCAGGGGATCCATAGCTGTGTGTTTTTGTCCTGAATTGCCGGTAAATTTGTGCACATAGAAGTCTTTGCTCGGAGCAAACGAGCCACCGCTCTCAGACACTCAGCCGCCACAGCCACAGTTTTCGGTGACCACGACAAATGTCTCCACATATAAATAAAGTTGAAGCTCAGGAAGTTATTTGCATGCTAAACATATAATGCAATTTTTTTGATGATCGAATCTACATATAAGAGCTCCCCAAATCATGATTCGAAGAGTTTTTGCGTAAACATGCATCGGGAGAATGATTATTACTAAATAAATTATCTAAAATTCGCTTTAAGATTATTGTAGTAGATAAAACGAACTATTTTACCAAGTAATTGTTATTTCAAAACGACATATCATTCCTCTTTCATTTGATATTTTACATAGGTAGGTTAGATAATAGTACACTCATGTAGCCTCGGCGATGAAACGTTACAAGAAAACGTGACTTTTTCTTAGATACCGTACTAAATTGCTTACACTACGTCGATGAAGAAATTTCACTTCAAAAAATATTATAAAATAAATGGTTAAATCTTAATAACGTTACATTAAGAGATCCAATCAAAGCCAGGACGAGTTGATGGTATAATAAACTAAATACATTCCCTTTGGTATTACCACACCAGCATTAAAAGGCCAAGAGAACTTAAAACTTATATGTTCATGATTGCTGCATACCACCGCTTTGTTCCTTTACGTGTCGCTCTCTTGAAAAGACCACGAACACAAAATACTTAGGTGTTATAATAGACCACAAACTTTCTTTCGAAGAGCATATTAACCACATTTCTTCCAGAGTTCGTAAACTTACGTACATTTTTAAGCAGCTTCGTCACCTTGCTGATACCAGTATTATAAAATTTGTTTATACTGCCTTATGTCAGTCTATTAACTATAGCATAACGTCTTGGGGTGGTGCAGCAAATAGCCACATGATTAGGTTAGAGCGTGCACAAAGACTTATATTTAAAATAAGTTATAAAAAACATCGATTATTTTCAACAAATGAACTTTACAAATTCTGTGAATTGCTCACTGTACGTCAGCTCTATATTCTTGGGACAATATTATTAAATCATTCAAAAACGGAATATAATAAATCTAATCCTGTATCTAATTAAACAAAAGACCTCCTCATATGGTATGACGGATTCAACTCGGTTGGGCAGCGTTCGGGAAATTACGGCACATCTTCTCGTCAGGTATACCTCAAAACTTGAAAACGAGACTGTACACCCAGTGCGTGTTGCCAGTGATGACATACGGAACTGAGACGTGGTCCTTCACTACTGGCCGGATGAGGAAGCTCAAGGTCGCTCAGCGAGCTATGGAGAGGGCTATGCTCGGAGTTTCTCTGCGTGATAAACTCAGAAATGAGGATATCCGCAGTAGAACTAGAGTGACCGACATAGCCCAACGGATTAGTAAGCTGAAGTGGCAATGGGCCGGCCATATAGCTCGAAGAACCGACAACCGATGGGGAAGAAAGGTTCTCGAGGGGCAGCCTCGTACCGGCAGGCGAAGTGTAGGGCGTCCCCCCACTAGATGGAGTGACGACCTGGTAAGATATGCAGGAAGTCGATGGATGCAGGTGGCTCAGGACCGTGCTTTGTGGCATTCCTTGGGGGAGGCCTATGTTCAGCAGTGGACTTGTGAAGGGCTGTAATGATGATGATGATATGGTATGCACAATACCTGTTACCAATGGTTACCAATTTATTATTTGCTCGAAGATTTTTCAATTACAGAGTTCCAGTCCTATATAATCTTGCTAACAAATTATTAAATATATATTCGTTAATCCGGCTTTAATCATTAGACTACGAACAGACAGAAAAACTATTGGAACGTATTGTTTAAATATATATTACACACCACATGCACACACACACACACACACACACACACACACACGCACACCACATTATTAACACTTATTACACCTGCTTACCTTTACTAGTACTTAAAGCATGTTTTTCTTCTTTGTATATAGCTAATAAGTAATTTTTACACAATTTCTCCAAACTGAACATGTAATGTAATTTTATTACACGTCGATCTAATGATTATTAAATGTTTTACAGCAATATAACTTCTGTTGAGGGAGGGCCCTGGTCATCCCATAACACAGGGCAACCTAGTTTGGGCACCAGTTTCCCACCTAGATCTTATTTGGCTAATATTTATAGCTGTTATTTAGTTGTATAGTTCATTGTTACTAAGTTTATTGTGATGTACTGATCATAATATGTGGGAGAAAATAAATACCAATTATTATTATTATTATTAATATAAATATTATGTAGCTGAACATAGCCAAAAATTTGACCTATATACGTAATGTATGAAATAAAACTTGCTCTTTCGTTATAGGTAATGGCGACGATGATTCGTCATCAGAGAGTTCCGCCAGCGATAGTGAAGAAGAAAGAAGAAATAATGTGTCGAATGTTGAGAATATGGACGGTAATTTAAATTTAAAATTTAAAGGAGTTTGAAATAAGATCACCGAATGATCTTCAAGTTTACCATTTTGATTATTATTTAAATAGATATATTATGTAGAAAGTAAAATGAAATAATTGACCGTCTGTGTTTGTATAGTATGACTACGATGACGATTCGAATATAGAACCAGAGTATGAAACCTAGTTGGGTAGGTTAAGACAGTAAAGTCCGATGCATTTTAAGCTTCTTGCTTCATGAATTACAATGCGCATTTCATGCAGTCTCTCCTTAAATGTATCTTGGATTCGTTGTAAAAATAATTCCTACGATTTTATCATTTTATTAGAAAATAATTAAGGTGCACTGTTCTTTGCTAAATCCAATATTTCATAGCTATAGGTTGGTGATGAATAGTCCAGGTCCAGAAATATCTGTGATGCAGACTATTGAAATATCTGGCGCCTTGACCTGCTATGATGTCAAATATATTATTTGTGTAAAGGTTTTGAAATGGATGTGCCTGAGGGAAAGAAATGCATATACTTTATGAAAGCTTGATTGATAATGATTGATTAAGATTGAAAATACTTTTTACCACTATTATAGTGATCTATATTTTTAACTTAATGTAAAAGAGGATACCTTATTATAAAAGAGGCCTATTTCGTTTAGTGCACTGTATATTATGGGCTGATTAGCAGGGATAAATAATTTAAAATTTTGATATCTATTTTTTTGGTGTATGACAGTATGAAATGGTTTTGTTAAACTTGTCAAAATTTTGTTACAGTGTCGGAAGCTGAAGTGGATCGGCCCCCCTCTCCAACGGAGGAGGAACCGAAATCCCCCGTGGAGAAGAAAGAAGACTGAACGACTATTGTCAATTGTTCTACTTCCCTGCAATGTTCCACACTACTCGGACATCTTTCGAGCGGTGTAGGAAAACTTCCTAATCTGTTGAAAGAGTTGTTTTTTATATTTGAAGCGATATGAAAGACTTTCATAATTTCGACTTTTCGTTATTTGTGCAAGTTTTTAAAATTTATCGTCATTGTTAATGTATAAATATCAGAAATTTATTAGTTATTTGATATTTTATCATGATTATGCTTCATGTTTTAAATTGGACAATGTTCTATTTCGAACATTTTGTAGACAATTGCACGGCTTGTAATGTTAACCTGCTAGAATGGAATGAATGCAAATCAATGAATGATGTATCAGTTTCATTTCTAACAGAACACCTGTTAGACATTAAACTGACGGTTGCCCATTTTTGGAAGTAAAACATGCTATATTGTGTTTAATCCCTCTCTAATTTATACGGAGAGGATACTCGTAGCATGCACTAAGACAAGATGCCTGTAAAATTTAAAACATTTGCATCTAAAAACAATATAAGGCGGTAAACACTAAGAATATATTTTAAAAAATGGTTCCACCAGCCAGCATGTTTTGTGAAAGGTATTTATATTATCATGATCGAGAATAATTATTTTGTTTATTTCTCTGTGTTTTTCACGCAATTTCGGTGCAAACGAAGTAAATGTAGATAATGAGATATTATCCATGTTGTTATAAAATCACATTGAAAAGTGTTCAATAAAGGCTTAAATGTAATTTTTTATGCAATACTGGTCGAAGTGGCTTTTTTGTGTTAGCATTTTAGTGTTTTAAATGTGTATACAATATATTATAACAGTTTTTTATGATTGCAAAAATAATAAAATAATGTGCCTTGCGAACTTTTAGCGATGTCAATAGTTGTGATAGAAATTGCCGATTTGTTAGCAGAATATTTCATGTTATAGCTAATATTTCACACCTTGTTTGGATTTGTATTCCAATATAACATCAACCAAGATTGGTATAAGGTATAAGATTTTTTACAAAAAGACCATGGAGATTTTGTTTGCGTTTTCGATGTGTAATACTATATTTGTGAAAAAAAAAATAAAACAAATAAATCCTAGCTTGTTTATATTTGCTAAATGTTTTCGTCTGTATAATTAATACTTTATCGGGCAATTCGTCATTCACCATCTATTTAACATTGTACATGAAGCTAAAACTAGCTTGTAATTCATTTATTATGGTTTGTAAATCGTGTGCAAAAACTATTTATTATTATTTAACTAAGTCATTGATTTGAATCTTTACGTAGAATTAGCTTAGATTCTATTAATTTAATAACGACTGTGTAATGCTAAATTTAACGTCCAGCTTACATTGGCTTGCTACTTAATTAACAAAACATTATCATAATACAATAGCGATTTTACGATATCTCTGTTTGGAATATTGATATTTATTATACAAAACAAAAATGCAAAAATACAAAATATAATGTTATTTATATTTTTAGTCTTCAATTTATATCTGATTCCTATATTAGAATTAAAAGCTGACAAAATCTTAGTTTTTCATTGCATATTGTTTTCTTTTGTTAAAAATAAGAAAAATTTAAATTCGAACAATTTTTACACTAATATCGATTAATATTTTTAAATTTAATTATGTAATTGTAGCTACAAATTTATACGATCTTTTAATTTGAGTACCCCGTTATACTAGAAACTTATCGTTCTATTGAAATGTCTATGTTGATCATATTTTAATATTTTTGGTTGTATGGTAAAATCAAACTGTTTGTTGGTAGAATTACAGTAAAGCATAATAGAGTGTTGCTATTTAATGACTGTATAAAGTTAGGAGAATTCAATATGATTTTTGGAAGAATTTAAAAAACCAGCAGCATTTTTATTTCTAACCACAGAATTATTATCTACACAAAATTTTAAACATTAAAAACATGAATGATTAATTATAACTTAATGCCGAATACAGTTAAATATATAAAGAAAGCTGTTGAGATGAGGTAGTAATTATTGGAGAAAATTAAAGCAGAGTTAAAAAATTGCTCAAACAACTTTCGCCATCAAACCACCTTAGTTTAGAAACTTAAACTCATTTATATATTTTAAATAAATCTCTCTTCACGATCGAACCTACACTTTTGAAACAAATGACACAATATTATGTCATCAATTTTTAGTATTAATAAGAAAGAAATTATTAAAAAATATTTGCTTTAAGACACTTTTATCAGACAAATTAATTTTACATATAAATTTAAAAAAAATGAGCATTTTTTACTCTCTTTTGTCCAAATACTCGAACGCTATTCAGTTTTAAGATGCCGTTAAGTATCGTGTTATCTCTATCATTTCAAGTCAAAGTGACTGCGACAACACGAGACTTAACGACATCTTAAAATTGAGTAGCGTTTGAGTATTTGACCATTAGATTACGAATCATCATCATCTCTTAAATTATGATAATATCCTATAACTCTTAAAACTTACATTTTCTTCATATTGACGTGTACGTTTTAATACAAACTTAAACATTTATACTCAATTGCGTTATCTAGTCATTACGTCGATGAAAACCATTGGACAATTTAACTTTCTTGAAATGATGATTTTTGTAGTTTTTTCGAACTTAGGGCGAGGAGTATAAAAAAAGAAATAAAATCATGTAAACCTAAAATTTCAGTCATAATTTATTGTTAATTTATTAATCCTTGATGATTACGTAACCTTTTATCCTATTTAAAAAAAATACCTGAACAGTTTGTGGCCCTTGATTTTGTGTAATAAGTTGACTACTTATAAATGGGGAATGCAAGTATAACCTAAACAGAAATGGCGAGGTGCAAGTGTTATTTGTAATTAACTATTGATTAACAATCTAATCAAAGATTTGGTGCAGTGAATAGTCAAGTTTTACTCTAAATTTAGCAATTTAGACAGCTGAAGAGAACAAGTTCAATCCGTTTAATACACTATTTTTTCATCTAGATTCTAGATGAAAATATAGTCTAGATTCTAGAATAACTGTTAATCATAAATAACAGTTTGAAGTTGGTCCCAGTTGTCTATGGCCTGTGGCAGTAGGCAGTTACTATTAAACACTTAAAGTACCAGAAACAAAATATAAATGAGTTTTTAAGTTTTAGTAAGAAAATAATATTATATAGTATCTTCAAGTGTGAAAGACTAAGCGTCTTATTCACGGTCCATCTTGTTGTACGTCCTGAGGTCATACACGACGCACGACGTAAAAAACGACAATGAGTAGGATTTACGTACATAATTATTAACGTACATCAAGCCTACTCATTGTCGTACTGCGTCGTGCCTCGTGCATGACCTTGGCGGGACGTACAGCAAGATAGACCGTGAATAAGGCGCTTAAAATCTACGATAGCATTGTAAAGGTATCCGTGCGTGTTATAGTTACAGATTGGAACATTTCAAGCACCACTGAACTATTTGGTTCAATGCTTATAAGGTGAAGATGTAACTGTGGTATACCATCTATACATATCTGATTTTTTATACTTATTTTTCACATTATCCTCTATTTTTAATAGTTAATCTGTTACACTTGCACTTTAGCAGCATTTGACAAATGCATTCCCCTTTTAGTGTTTAATTTTAATGGAAAAACTAATTTGAATAATATTAAGAATTGTTTTAAGGACTGATTTCTATATGAATAAATGGTAGTATGATAAAGAGGATAATGTTACTTTTTTGAACCAATACCCTTTTTCACTAGTGCTTTTGGAGTTTAAACATATGAACAAGTTTCACTTCGTATAAAATTAATGATAAGATATAAGAGAAAACAGTAATATTAAATTAGTGAATAAATTACCTTCAAAAATATTTTTTCTGCTGATCACATTTTTAGTATTTCTGTTTTCTTAATTTACAATTTTATTGTTCGTAAACAAAGGTTTTAGACTCATTTTGTTGACATATTAGAAAATAATAAATGTATCTGCAGTCGGTAGCTATACAACATACACACATACAAAATAACAAAGTAGTTATACATTGTTAGTAGATTGACAAATACAGGAAAGAAAAAGTATTCCCAATAATTATTTTAAACTATTCTTAAATTTTGTGAATAATGAGAATCAGAATGAAGTTATTGTTGAATTTGTTATTTATTATTACTTGTATCATTGATTGTTTAGCTATTTTGTATTGAATATAAGTAACAAGTTTATCAGTCTTTCATTTGAATCGGTAATTTTATGGTGCATCATTATTAATTATTCATATTCATAATCTACATTGTGAGAAATGCATATCCGATAGAAATTAATACTACCCATGCGGTTTACGAATGGGATTGGAAATGACGTCGCCTCTATTCACCTCTCGTTCGCACACTGTCGCTATCTATACTCACACCTCACACATTTTAAGTTTTGCTGACGATACATACAGCCCTCCTTTTTCATGCAAATACGTGGCAAGAAGTTTATGAAAATGCTCAAGAAGGCTTAAATAAAGTATCTGACTGGCTAATAAACAACCTTTTAACATTAAATATACAAAAGACAAAATATATGATTATTACAATGCGTTCAGCCAATAACATTAACTTCCAATATTCATTAAAAGTACATACATGTTCAAAGATGAAAATGACTCAATGTCATTGCAGTGCTATTGAGAGAGTAGATAATATGAAATATCTTGGAGTAATTATTGATAACAAACTCAGTTTTCAAAGCCACATAGACATGTTGACAACTAGAGTAAGAAAGTTAATATACATTTTTAAAAACCTTAGTAACATAGCTGATTTAAAAGTCATCAAAATAGATTACTTTGCCTTATGTCAATCGATTATCGCTTACTGTATAACATCCTGGGGTGGTTCTGAAAGGACAAAAATAATAAAACTGGAAAGAGCACAGAGAGCTATACTAAAAGTATCCGCCTCACTTCCCTTTCTTTACCCTACTGTAGACTTATACAAGCGTTGGAAAGTCCTATCTGTGA